ACTCACTTCAGCCTCCCAAAGGCGCGGGATTACAGGCTGAGCCACCGAGCCCGGCTGAGAGGGGCCATTTTATAATGAGCCCTTTCGGTGAGGTTGATACAAAGTTCTCTTTGAATTTCCCCCCTTTTATTGAGGTATAAAATGTATACTCTAAAGTGCATAAAGTACACTAGTCTTAAGCGTACAACTCCTTTAACTTTTTTACATGTGTACACCCCCATGTAATTAACACCCAGGTCAAGATATAGAGCATTTCCAGAACATCAAAGGTGTTCTTATGCCCATTCCGGTCGGTCTCCTATCCCCATCCCAGAGAAAGCTCAACTCTAACTTCTGTTTTTTTTTTTTTTTTGAGTTGGAGTCTCACTCTGTCGCCAGACTGGAGTACAGTGGCCACTCCCGGCCACCGCAGCCTCGACCTGCTGGGCTCCCGAGATCCTTCTGCCTCAGCCTTCCAAGTAGCTGGAACTACAGGCGTGCGCTACCACGCCCGGCTAATTTTCTGATTTATTGTAGAGATGAGGTCTCGCCAAGCTGCCTAGGCAGGTCTCCAACCCGCAGGCTCAGGCAATCCACTCACCTCAGCATCCCAAAGCACGGGATTACAGACTGAGCCACTAAGCCTGGCTTCAGCTCTAACTTCTATCACCACTGTTTAGTTTTGCCTGTTATTGAACTTCATTCAAATGTAATCATACTTTGTACTGAATTTTGTTTAAAACCATTAAAGTGAAGTCCAATGTATGTCCGCCCTTTCATTCTTAGGCCTTTTTAGAGATGGCTTACACAGAAGCTGCCCAGGCCATGGTCCAGTATTATCAAGAAAAATCTGCTATGATCAATGGTGAGAAGTTACTCATTCGGATGTCCAAGAGATACAAGGAATTGCAGCTGAAGGTAAAGCATCCTCTTGTTCATTCAGTCATTTAACAATCAGCTGAGTTTTTCCTGTTTGTCAGACACTGACCTAAGTGCTGATGGGAAGGAGAGAATAGAAAAATATTCAGAAATTATTAATTGCCTTTGAGAATCTCACTTGGAAAGGCAAACCATTACAACATGACAAGAAAAGTGCTCATTGAGGTAAATACAAAATGTAAAGGGATGCTTGAGACTACCTGGCAGCCAAAGAAGATATTCCAATGGAAGATGTTTACAGGGGAAGTCTTGAAGGAAGAAGTCATATGGGGGGAAAAGGTACTTGCTTTTCAGTGGTGGGAGTTCCAGGCATTAACCCCTGAATACAACTTCTTCTCTACCCATATAACTCTTCAGTAACTTGTTCTTCTTCTGTCATCTCCTTAATTTCCTGTTCTTTCCTCTCTCCTCCATATTTATACCTTAAACCCATAGAAGTCCTTCTAAGCAGCTCTTGACTGAATTGGCCACTGTCAGAACTCAGAGATAAATTCAGATAATTCCAAACCAGGCTTTGTTTTCATTTCAGCTGGTCTACATTTCTTTTTTTTTCTTTCCCTTCTTTTCTGTTTTATTGTGAAGTATAAAAGAACATATAGAAAAATGGCTAATTATATATTGGACAATTTAAAGAGTAATAATGAGTGACAGCTCATAAATCTCATCAAACCACCACCAAAATCAAGATATAGAATACGGACAGCGTCCAGAAGCCCCTGTGAGTGCCTCTTTAAGCTCAACCCCTCCCTCTCCACTCTCCTGACTTTCATTATAATCATTTTTGTGCTTTCCCTTACAGTTCTATCTGTGTATGCCTCCCTAAACATTATAATGTAGCTTTGCCTGTTTTTGAACTTTATATGAGTGGAATCATACTATCCATGTTCTAACAGATCTTGCTCCTTTGATTCAACATAATGCTATCCATGTTGTGGGGTATGTCTATTTATTTTCATTGTTACATAAATTTCCATTGTATGGCTATACAATTATTTATCCATTCTACTGTTACTGGACATTTGGGTTGTTTCCAGTTTTAGGGTTTTAGGGACAATGCTAGCATGAACCTTCTCAAACATGTTATCCTGGAACACACGCACATGAACATATAAGTAGAGGTACACAAATTACTAGGATTGGAATTGCTGGGTTGTAAGGCATGCTTATCCTCAACCTTGCAAGATGATAGCAAACTCTTTCCAAAATGAGTTGTCCCAAATGTATACTCCTACTAGTAGTATATGAGAATTTAAATGGTCCACCTTCTTGCTAACACTTTGTCTCCCTTGACTTTTTAATTTGTGCCTGTCTGGGGAGAGTATAATGCTTTATAATGGTTTTTTTCTTTTTATTTTCCTAATTACTCATTAAGGTTGAGGAGTTTTTCATATGTTCATTGACTATTCCATCTGCATCGTCTTTGGTGGGAGGTTTCAAGTCATTTGCCATGCTTTTCTTTTGTATTACGTCTTGCTGGTTTGCAGTTCTCTTAACTGGAGCACTTTGCCTATTTGGATTTATTGTGATTAATGCTATATTCATGTTTAAATCTACCCTCTTATTTTGTGCTTTCTACTGTCCCATTTAATTGGGACCTTTTTTATTTTATTTTATTTTTATTTATTTTAGTTCACTTCAGCCTGTTTCACATTTACTTAGGGCCCATTTTGTTCAAGACTCATCCCTCTCAATCTGCCTTCAAATTAGACAAAGAAAGGCTCACTGATTGTTTCTAGCTGGGACTAGCATTCTGACAAGTCTGCATATGTAGATCGGTAATGTGTCAACCAGTTGCCAAAGTCTTGATTCTGCTTTGCTTACATTGTTGCGTCTGAAGTTCCTTTGCCAACAGTTCTGCTTCAGGCAGAACCCAGCTTCCCCACCCCCACCCAAATGAAAGCATATTTCTCCTCTCTGACAAGTAAAGGATCCCACCCCAATCTGTATCCAGCCTGTATCCAGCCGAAGTTCCTGCTCTCCTGGATTCTCCCCTTGGGGCTAAAATTGAATTTCTGCACTGAGTGCCCAGTGAAGCTTTGGTCTCCAAATGAAATGTCGTCATAAGTTTCTAATTAGCATTAACAGCAGTAATTGGCTTCTTAAATTAATATGCCAAGGCATAGTAATACCTTACTGATGGAGACAGTTTGGGGTGGTGCAAAAATCATGGGTTAAAGAGGTCAGATAGGCCAGATGGTCAAGTTTTGTTTTCAGCAAATGTTCACTGAGTGCCCACTATGAGTGGAACTAGCTTTAGCTCCATGGATATAGAGGTAGTGAGCTTTTGAGGAGCTCAGTCTGTTGAAAGAAAAAACAAAGAAACATAGAACCATCAACAACCATGTGACCTACGGCAGAATGGAAGATGGTGAAGCCAGCTTGGGCTGTGCCCCTTCCTGCTTTGGTGAGCTTAGATAAGTTGCTTAACCTCTGTGAACCTCAGTTACCAAATCAGGAAAGGCCTATAACTTGAGTTCTTTGGTTTTAAGAATTTTCTTTTTCATACATTGTCTTTTGAGTCTTATAATCACCCTACCCTGTGAAGTGTGTAATGTGGGCAATAGCTGTAATTATAAGAGTACAACAATAATAACAATAATATGTACCTTTAATTAAGTCCTGGTACTCTGGGGCAAGTAATGTACCAAGCACCTTACATCCATTATCTACTTTAATCCTGACATCAGTCCCATCACAAAGGTATTATCACCTCGATTTTACAGATGAGAAAACAGAGCCTAATAGAAGAAGTTCAGTAACTTGCCCAGAATCATATTTAGTTACTGGAAGAGCCATGATTAAAACTTAGGACTGTTTGGGTTTGCATTATATCTGCATAGCTATATTGTGTTATTATGGTCTCCATTGTCCACATGAAAAAACAGAGAGAAATCAGGTAATTTGCTTACGGTCACTCAGCCAGGAAGCAGCAGAGGTAGTATTCTAACAGAGCTCCTCAAGCTTCAGCGTGCATGCAGATCACTTGGGGATCTTGTGAAAATACAGTTTCTGATTCAGTATGTCTAGGGCAGTGTTGTGATTCTGCATTTTTAACAAGCTCCCAGGAGATGCTGATGCTGCTGGCCCTCAGAGCACACTTTGTTTTTGTTTGTGTGTTTGCTTTAACTTTTATTTTAAAGATGGGTATAATTCAGGGTTAGAGATACAAATGGTCATTGTACAGGTAAAATTTGGGCCAGCACACACTTTGAATAGGAAGGGCCCAGAACACATTGTCTCCTGGTCTTTAGTAAGGGTTTTCTGCTCTCCCAAGCTGTCAAACTGCCTTTTAGGGTCATTGTGAAGGTCACATGGAATATCACAAATGAAAACTTTTTGTTTTGTTTTGTTTAGAAAGCAGGATTTAGCTAGGCTCGGTGGCTCAGCCTGTAATCCCGTGCCTTGGGAGGCTGAGGTGAGTGGATCGCCTGAGCCCGCGGGTTCGAGACCCGCCTGGGCAACTTGGTGAGACCTCATCTCTACAATAAATAATAAAAAAAATTAGCTGGGCGTGGTAGCGCACGCCTGTAATTCCGGCTACTTGGAAGACTGAGGTGGAAGGATCGCTGGAGCGCAGCAGGTCGAGGCTGCGGTGGCCGGGAGTGGCCACTGCACTCCAGTTTGGGCGACAGAGTGAGACTCCAACTGAAAAAAAAAAAAAAAAAAGAAAGCAGGATTTATTGCGAGGGCAGAAAAGCTCCCACAGTGGGAGGGGACCCGAGGGGTTGACCACAAGTGAAAACATCTTAAAGCATGTTTCATAGTAATGCATGTTTTATGGTCTTTATATAGTAATGCATCCTTTATGGTTCCTATGTTGACATGAATCAGCTACAACTTTCTCTGGAAGTAACCAGAAATTCATTTCCATTAAGTATATTGACTTTAAGAAAAAGGGGGGGATTTATTGTCTTATGCAAACAAAAAGTCCAGGAGTAACTCTGGTTGCAGGTACAGCTGGATTAAGGGTCCAAACAATATCATTAGAACTTGGTTTCTCTCCACTCTGCCTTCTGCTCTCCTAGCTTTGTTCACTGGGGGCTCCCGGAGATGGGCCTGAGCAGCCCCAGGCTCTCTCCTCTAGGTGGCATGGTGGCTACAGAGACTTCAGCAGCTCTGGCTTCTCATCCTTCCATTTCCTTTAATGAGAGAGAGTCAGAGTTTTTCCTAGAAGCTCCCACGAAAGTCCCGAGAGTCACTCTGATTGGACTAGCTTAGCATATGTTCTCATCCCTGAACCATCTCTGTGGCCAGGGGAAGTTGTGCTGTGATTGGCTGGGCCTATATCACCTGCTACGAGTCAAGGGTGGAGACCACCCAGACCTCTGGAGCATGATGGGAATGGAGCAGCTGCTGCCAGGAGCTGGAGAGTAGCGACTGGGGAAGTAGATGGCAAACACCATATCCATATGTGTCTCTGGGCCAAAGGAGCTACCGTATTGGGTCCCAGAAGGGTTTGCAGAGGTGGAGAGAGAATTGATTGTTCTTTCTCCTCTGATTTTATCTTTTGCTCACTAGGCAAAGTGCAGGAAGAGAAAGGAGAGGTTTTTTTGGTTTTTTTTTTTTTTTGAGTCAGTCTCACTCTGTCGCTCAGACTGGAGTGCAGTTGGCCGCTCCTGGCCACTGCAGCCTCGACCTGCTGGGCTCCGGCGATCCTTCCGCCTCAGCCTTCCAAGTAGCTGGAACTATAGGCACGCGCTACCACACCCAGCTCATTTTTGATTTATTGTACAGATGAGGTCTCGCCAAGTTGCCCAGGCGGGTCTTGAACCTGGCAATCCCCTCATCTCAGCCTCCCAAAAGCGTGGGATTACAGGCTGAGCCATCGAGCCCGGCTGAGAAAGGAGAGTTTTTAAGGTATTTTAAACTTTGAACATTTTCTCATGCACATATCTGGCCCATACACTTTTTGTTGCAAGGGTTCTATTCCTCGGGATTTTTAAGGCAGAAACTTTCACATAATAGATGTTCAATGCAGA